AGCGTATGTGTTTGGGGTGAGTTGGGCTGGACTTGGATGTGTTTTACCTATTCAAGATCTCTAGGTCGCCATTGGACCTAAATTTATCTGGAAAAGGAAAGGAATTCCCACTGATAGATGCTAACTTACATCTTGTATATGTATTTATTATAATATATGAGTGTTCTTACGTGATATATTTGACTCTTGTCTCAGCGTTTGTTGCCCTGTGGAAGACTATAATGGTGCTAAGATAGGTTTTTCCATGATTTCTTATGACTTGGCTCTTCTGTGTAATAAATGACATGTAGAATGATTTGTGAGGCATCGTGGTGAAATCAGGCGCTTGTCAATAATGAAATCAAAGTAATCCTCATTTTTCGGCCAATGGATATTTTTTTTCTAATTTGCTTTTTCGGGCTCAAAACCTTCTATGTCCATATAAAAACACATTTATATGTGTATTTCACAGAAAAACATTGATTAAAGGCACACCAATGTAACTTTTCAGTTTCCAAGATCTCTCAGAAACCAGGCGACCCTGACCTCCTTTAAAGGCAAATATTTCGACTTCTATTCAAGATAACCGGATATTTTTTTCACTGAAAGGAAGGCAAATGAACAGGCTTTAAGACGATACCAATAACCCCATATGCCGAAAATTTACGAGCACCTGATTCCACGACGCCATGACACATTTCTTATATGCGTCTGTTGCATCATCATGTATGTCAGAAGTGTGGAGGAAGAAATATCTATCTTTTCTTGTTTTTTCATAAAAGAGTGATACATGTATTGTTTGTTCATGCTAAAGCCTTATAAAAATAAATGCATTTGCCCTCTTGTTATCTTAGCCTTCTTGCTGCGATTGATTTACTTAAATATACAATGATGAAGATGCACAGATTAGATTGAGATACGGTATTTCTCTTGGAATACAGGGAAAGAAAGAAAGTGGAAGGTACCTGTACACAGATAAGAAAAATGTTGTCTCTAAAAGCATAGGGGAAAGAAAGAAAGTACAGTAGAAGGTACACAGATAAGATATGTCTCTCGTAATACAGAAGAAAGAACAAGCGAGTATTGAGGTTCTGCATGCTGTCAGCATTGCTCACCACTTATGATGTCACAGGGCCAGAAGGAGGAGAGAGAGAGAGAGAGGGGGGGGGAGAAAGAAAGTAGAAGATACTCAATTGAGATACAAATTCGTCTTTCACAATACACCGGAGAGAGAAATGGTAGACGGTACACAGATACGATAGGAATTTGTCTCTAAAAACACAGGGAAAGAAAAAAAAAGTAGACTGAGAATGTAGACAGGGTTGGTAACCCAATTCCTAATTTATCTAATTGTTACTTGGATTTACTTGGATCCAGAGCTAGAATCATAGCAGGCAGCACATGTCCATAGCTGCTCATCTCTCCTTTAGTTTTAGTAGTAGAGGTTTTACGGTGCTCGCAACTGCATAAGGTCATATGAGCGCCAGAAGATTAAAGGTGTTACAAGAGAGTAACTAACACAAAAAAGAAGGAGGGGAGATAAGGACGATAGATGTTTGATAGGAAAGAAGAAGCAAACCACACCAGAGCACCCGCCAACCACCCACTCATCTCTCCTTTCCAGCGTCCACCTCAGCGTCTTCCTGCTAATTGTCTCCATAAGGAGCTGGTTTGAGACACGCCTGACCACTCCTCGGAGCAAACTTTTTTTCCGCTTTAATCTAATTGTGTCAAAGGGGTATAAAAACATCTACATTACATTCTTTTTAAAGGGCATTTCAAGCAATTAAGACAACGAGGCTGTTTTCATCCACAAAAGGCAACACACCACTTCAAAAAATCAACTCTCTCAACACACATTTTGTTCATAATTATATATACATTTATTTAACGTCAGGACAAATCTTTAGGGAAAACCACTGTGTCCTTGACATTCCTATCGAAAAGAGTCTGTCCTAATTGCACAATCCTAGCACTTCCCAGACACGTGTTGTCTCTGTAAAACACTGCGTACTGACCAGGAGTCACTGCTCGCATCGGTCGCTCTAGTGATATAGAATAACCTCCAGCGTCATTTCCTACACCCGAACAAGCAATGAGGCGATGACGGTGCTGGAACCGAAATTGAGCGTGAAATGCACTGTCTGGGTTGGCCGCATTTGGTGGTCCCTGTATCCAGTGACCGGGCCCAGAGAGGAAAGAGTCCGTGAAGAGAGCGGGATGACCAGTGCCAGGGGCCTGAAAGATGAAATTATGATAAAAGTGAAAGATAAATCATAATGATAAATAAAGATTCATAATCTAGGCGATGAAACTTGAAATTATCATCATATTCTACTTGATAAAGTATAACACTATAATCACATCATGCACAATTAAATACAACGTGGTCTGGGCTTATCTCACACAAAATATGCATTATGATGGTCAACAACGGAGAAGAAAGAACTGTTTACCACAAGAATATCCTGGGTATCAGGGCGTATCTCACAGACAAAATACGCAGCACGGAAACCAGGCAGGTGGCAGCGCTGACCGAGAGTCCAGTAGTGAGAGCCTGGAAGAGAAAGTCAGAGCAAAACAATTCATTCATGACCAGGGAAAGCTGATCTGTCAACAAGTAGTCAGCTGGTTTTTTCCCTTCATCCATAAATGCATTTAATTCTACTGGTATATTCCAACGAATTTACAATAGTAATAGTTCTCCTGTCAATGTCTGATGATGACAACACCATCTGGAGAGGAAAATATTTCTGAACCGAAACAGAAGAAATTAGGATTTCGATGAACTGTGGAATTTGCTTTGGCCAAGGAGACCAATTCAGGCAAAGAAGTGTTGGCCACATTTGGGGCATCTAAAAGCTTCATGCTCTCAAATCACTTTGCTCATAACATATATTGGAAAAGGGTGTGAAATTCCTGGGCCCTGTCTCATAAATAACCTATAACCTAACAGTGTTGAAAGGGTCATGTAACCCACACTGCTGTCCAAATACAGCGTGAGATAACTGTATAGTTCATGGTAGTGAGAAAAATAAGAAAAACTCAGGATGCTTACCATGGAGATCAGTTACTTGTATAGTTAACCACTTTGAAACTACTATTATGGGTGTGGATACATTATCCTGCCTTTGACACAAGAAGGAGCCGGTTGAGACTGGTGTAACAAATCAATGAAACCAAAAAAATGGATTTTTGTCAGATACATAGCTATGCCTTGGTAGGACTGCATACAGTTATACCGGGTACCACATCTCAACAATTTACCTTTGTGTGTTCCAACAACAGCTCCTGTCTCCACATCCAGAAAGTTTCCTTCTTTTGGCTCGATGTACTGATGATACAAAGCAAAATTTGTTTGAGAATCTAGTACACTGGCAGGTCATTGCATGTCAATCTCTGAGACAGAGATGCCACCTCCAGGTGTCCAGGTATAGAAAAAAAAAGCATGGGGGAAAGCGGTAAGTGTGAAATGGTCATTTGTACACATGATTTTATTGGTCAGGTGGCCTTTTAAAGAGATTTGACTGTATAGTCAAAAAGTAAGTATTTATAAGTATTATCAGTAAGTCAGCATTTGTACACACCATCAAGAAGTCGGCCTCTGTACATACTATCTACAAAATGGCATTTGTACATGCTATCAGCAAGTTTCCATCAGTCTGTCCCATCAACAAGTTTTCATTTGTCCGTACCATCAAGTTGACATTTGAACTTACATTTGTACATACCATTAACAAGTAAGCATTTGTACATATTTGTACTCTCATCAACAAGTTTCCATTTGCACATACTATCAACAAAATGTCAACTCCTTTGCAGGAAGTTTACTATCTTGATCCCTTATCAATTGTTAGATACATTTGTAATTTAAATTCAACTTACAGTTGAGTAACAAACCTATTTCCATCTTAATTTGAGTATTCTCTACAATGAAGGGATAAAGTTGGGTACATTAGGACTAGAGAAACTGTGTAGCAGTACATCCTCTACATCCCAATGTGTAAAGCAGAAACAAACTGCACAGATCAGAACACCAGTCTCTCATCTTCTACGGTAAGTAAGGTGAGTAGGGGTTAAATGCCCCCTCCAAAACTCACCTCTTCTATAAAACTGTGGAAATTTCTGGATCCTATGAAACAAATGCCCATACTCTGAAATAAAAGCAAGAGAAGGAAAGTGATACTGTATATCATATTTCTTTTTTTAAAGCATAAATTTACTTTTCCAGGCCTGTACTTCATTTCGTAGACTACTCTTGTAAAATACAGATTTCTCACACAAGAATAACAAGAGTAAAATTGGGTTAGGGCCAAGGATATGACATTGTTCCTGGGAATAATAAAAAAGAAAAGAAAAAATATTAATGGAGACGTTTTTACACCCTCATCAATACATTCAATATAATTTAGGAGGCAGGCTTCCCCCCAGCCGGTCGGGGCCAACTCGAGCTGAGAGGGGTACGTTTCAGCAGCGACGAATAATAATATACTCGATAAAAATTCTCCACACAGAATAGAACTCCAGTCTGCTGCACTAGGAAGCAAACCTCACCATTAAACCACAAATATCGGTTAACTTGGAATCGAAATCAGAACATTTTTATTGCACATATAGAGCACCTCATAGCTAGACTAGGATGTCTTTACTGGGAGAGTCAATGGAAAAAGCATTTATCAATCGAAGTCAAATGCTCATGCTTAAAAAAACGCTTGAAAAGTAAACATCAATGAATGTCTGTTAAAACAGGTTTTGTGAATGATCATAACTGTGTCAATTGGGGTGTAATTATTACCACAAGAAAAGACTTAAGGGGCCTTGTGGACAGATGTAGCAGAAGGCAGCGAACAATGAAAACTTGACACCGGCAGTCTTTGCTTAAGTTTGAAGAAAGAGAATCACACTGACAAAACGGAATGGTGGTCATTTAGAGCAAGGAAACAGGAGGGCAGACAGACAGAAACAACAGAGGGGAAGAATAGAAGGGAGATCTAAAAGTGACACTCTCCAACCACTTGTATAAGAATATAGTAAACCTGAAACAGACAGGTGGAGAGTGAAGATAACAGTTACAATTGAAAGTAGAAAGAACTGATCACACAAGCCAGACACAACCCACTAGTCTTTCAAGATTGTGAACGACAGAAAATTTAAAAACAGTAAAGGTTACTTTGTACTGGGAAATCTCACAGTTAGTCACTCACTGAGCTCTAGCAGGGGTACAAGAAGAAATGAGACGCTTTTATAGTCTGCTTTGGTAACAAAAGTCGTAAAGCCTTAGAACATAGATTTGCTATGTAACATAGACAGTCAAACTTTTCTACGACCACCACCAAATGTCGAAGAGAAAAGTGGACATATTAGACAGGTGGCCATCTTGCACAGTGTCATTAAAATATTTTTTTTTAATATGCAAGGGAGTAAAAATGAAGTGGTCGCTAGTACAGGTGATTGTCTTATACAGGTGTCCGTCAGAGCAGACTGGACTGAAAATTGGTATTACCTCCTTCTTTCTGGCAATCCTTTCCATGCCAGCCTCTGTAGCAATCTCTTTCACCTGATGTTTCAGAAGATCTCCGAGAGGGAAAATTGACTTTTGAAGGGCCCACTGGGGTATCTGAGAGAGAAAGAACGTTTGGTCCTTCTCTTCATCCTTAGCACACAAGAGGGACACACCTGAAAATAAGCAGCAAGGCGCCAGAAAAGAAGAACAATATTTAGTTTTACTAATAATTTTACAGTACTAGCAACACATAAGGTCATAGGAGTGCCAAACATTAGAGGTGTTACTTCTAGAGAGTAACATACAAAGAAAAGAAGAAGGAGAGATACGGACAATAGACGTTTGATAGGAAAGAAGGAGGAAACATCAGAGCACCCACCAACCACCCACTGAATAAGATCAATGCACATGCACAGTGAATATTTCTCTGATTTCACAAGCCTCCCCAACTGGGTCAGGTAAACAACAAGCACAGCTATTTACAGTCAGCTGATCTCAAGAAGAGTTAAACCTACTTCACATCAGCTAAGTACTTAAAAGAACACAAAAAAAAAAAAGAATCTTAAGTACAAAATTGAAAGCCCTGTTTTCAGGAATAATTTCAAGGCGCTGCGAGGCTATTTAGACATAAGTGAAAGGTTCTGCATATCTAACTGCCATCTCAATATGGGCAGAGCCAGGAGGGAGGAATGCCTTACAAAGTCTCCTCAAAACAAGCCAAGTCAAAGAATGTCCAGTAAAATACCAACTGAGCTATCAGTACATTTATTTGGTTTATTTATGTAATGAGAAGTACCTCAATCCACATAATAACAGTCATTCAGTTCTTGGATTAAAAAGCAAAACTGATATACAGAAACATTAAAGAGAGTAAAGGAGTTATCCTATCATTATCAATGGGATCCTCCAATCACACACCTCGTTCATCCAATCTTAGGGCCACAAGTAGAGAAAGTGGTAAAAGTGAATTAACATAACTATAAAGGTATTCAAATAGGATTTTTAAATGTACCAGGAAGTAGCTGAAACTACTGTAAATGAAAAGCACCTGACTCAAAAAGAACAGAACAAAAATAATTTTTTTAAACTATCTTCCAATCACTGACCAACATCTGGGTCAATCCTATCCAGGTCATAGCCTGCACTTGTCCTGGCGTAGTGGCCTGTAGCTATGGCGTCTGCACCAAGCTTTGTCTCCGCGTGGTGCACAAAATGGTTAAACTTGATGTGACGATTGCACAAGATGTCAGGATTCGGGGTGACACCATTCTCATAGTCTTTGACAAGATCACTGAAAAACAGGAAATTTCTACGTTAGAGAGCAAAAAAATCATAATACGGGAGACCTATTCACATATTTTTGTGGGTGGCAAATAAATCCTGACATGAGAGACATAGTCACATATATATTTGTATTTTGGGGGAGTGACAATGAAATGGTATAGGTTTAATAATGCGCCTATCAACACTATTAGGGTATTTAAGAGGCGGGACCTCCGAGTTTAACATTCATCTCTGAAAGGACCAAGCCAAATGGGGAAATTTACGCTTAGTGCTTTACTCAAGGATATAACATCCGCCCAAGCTTTTTTTCGGAGGGGATGGGGGTTAAATGGAGGTACTCTATTTTCTATATTTATATAATACATATTTGTGTGTGCGTGTATGTGCGTGTATGTGTGTGTGTGTGCCCGCACGTGCGTGTGTGCATTTGTGTTCACCTGAAAACCTCATTCCAGTACTGCTTGACAAAGTCCACCTCATACAGCGGGACACCGACAGTCCGACACACAAACTCTGCGTCTTCTCTATCCTCATCTACCGAGCATTTGCCTCGCTCATCTCGAATGTCCCAGTTCTTCATAAACAGACCAACCACATCAAAACCTGGAAAGACACAGAGAAGTCTGATTAACAATGGAACAATTTTTTAAACCTCAATCAACACAAGTTACATCATCTCAGAGGCCCGCCACCTCGACCCTGCCTGCCAGAGCCAACCGAGGTGGAGTGAGACACAACATCCCAACAGACAAACATTATTATACTCAATAAATAACTTCCCCATATGGGAATCAAACCCACAGCTTCTGTGTGCAATGGCGAGGAGCCTACCATTACACCACAGATGCTGTTACTACAAAGTAGACACAAGGTAGAGTAAACAGAGCATCAGAAACAAGTACAACGGAAATTGTCCAAGAGGTCCACCCATTGTCAAGGAGAAAAGTGGTTGTCCTAGACAGGTGGACATCTTTGATGGTGTCATTTCAATACTTTAAAAATACAGGGAGTCGTAGTTTATACAGGGGATTGTCTTGGACAAGAGGCCGTTAGTGCAGATTCGACTGTAGTTAACCCTGTTGAGCTGAATACCACCTAAAAACTGAAAGGAGGAACTGAGAGTGTAGTACTAAATCGATATACTGTATCATTATTTTTGTGCTTTCTGTAACTGCTCTGTGCTCTATCAGTGATCAGATTTATTCCTCTTGCATACAAAACCTTGCTGCTGTGACTAAAGCCTCTTTGGTCCAGTGGGTTATCCTTGGTAAGCTGCACAACTAACTGTTCTAAGCCTAGAAAACAACATTTTTCAGGAAAGAGAAAAAAGAGCTTCCTTCTTTTTAAAAATTGTACTGACATTATGTATCTTTTAAAATGTGAATTTTAACAAAATGTTTTCGAAGCTCACATATGAAACCGTTATCTCAGATAACTGCAATTTTTTAAAGTGGAGAATATTGGGCTCAATGCATCTGAACAGTTGGCCGGTGTAATATTGCTCTACTTTATCACAGTGTAGAGGAGCCATTGCAAAGTCAAGCTGCTATTCTCATAGGCTCCATCACGTAATCATGTCAGTCAAAAGGTTTATCATCACATGCTTGAGCATTCACATTCTGGACCGTGTGCACAGTTGTTTGACATTTTTTTTCTATAACCTGATCAAGCTCTCTGTGTAACACAAGTCTCCAGTTGCAACAACTGCAATCCCTTATTTCTCACACAGTTAGTTGAGTTAGACAATCTACGAAAGATAATGTCCGAACCTATATATATATATATATGTACCAATATATAGTACAGATACAAATGTCTGAATCAATTTGCATCAAGATAATATAGATAACTCCATACTAATGCGCATCTAGGCCACTGGGTCAACAACCGACACCAAAAGACAAGAACGCACAAAGATAATCGAATGTTTCGGGTGGCTATCTCACATTGGTAGATATCTGGTCGGGTTGTTGCACGATGATGCAACATATATTTACATTTGTAGATCGTTATCACTTTCATTCAGACAGCGACACCTCCGAGAGTAGAAAGGAAACTATTTCTAGACAGCACAGAGTAAACTGGGGTAAGCTGAAGTGAAACTAAAGAGAGTTCTATAAATCATGAATGAATTCATGAGAAAATATAAGTAAGTTCAGTGAAATGGTGCCAGAGTCAGATGATATTGTCAGCACATTGTTCAATTGTTGTTTTAAAAATCCGAAAAGAGCAAAATTTTTCAGAAGAGAGAAAAATGTTTCATACTTTTATGAACCATACCGGTACGGTACTTACATTATATGCATCTTTACTTGCCTTTTGAACATTGAAAATTAAAATTTCGACAAGATACAACATATTTCTTGAGCACATGCTAAGAAATTCCTTTCTTTTTTTGAATTACAAAGTCTAAGGCCTAGTACATCTAAACAGCTGGCTGACAATTTATAAATTCATGACACAGTAATTTCAATGAAAGAATGTCAGCGTGAGAGGATTATATTGCCAGACTAAGATGACATAGAACATCAATCTGTCCCCGCTCTGGAACAAACTTTTTGGAGCAATGAATACAAATGGAAGAAACATGAGAAACATGCTCTTGTCTAAGGAGTGAAAAGGTGTCTTTCTAAAATTCACCTTTCTTCATGGTACCCATCTAATGAACAGCAAACTCCTAGCTATAAAATCTGCATCAGTGTCAATCTTATCTGTACTGTAATTTTAATATTTTTTTACAGGCTTTCATTACTTTCAATATTTTTTTCATGTTTTTAGAACAGCTGTTGTCAAATTTTCAAAAATCCTTTTCTTTCATAACTTAACAAAAAATCTTTGAGACACTTTTAACAATGCTGAAGCTGAATTTTTTTTTATTGTACCAGTGATATCCTTGAGTGTCCACGCCAGCTTCTTAAGGGTTTCCAAAAATCATATAGCACTTAGAGCATTCAACTTCTTTCAACCAAGGTTGGATAAGAGAAATGAATGTATTTAAAAAAATAATTTTTCAAATAAAACGAAAATGATAATGATAATAATAACAACAGATAGACTTTTTTTTCTGTGAGGGGTGAAATCAAGTGCTCATTAACATAGTGAAATCTAAGAAACTGACATTTTTCCACTGGATTGGTAATTTTTATTGAATTTTTTTTTTTTTTTTTTTGGGGGGGGGGGGGGTTCAACACCTTTTATGTCCATTTAAAAACACATTGCTGTTTTGATTTTACTAAAACCATTGATTAAAGGCACACAAAAAATGTAAATTTTCAGTTTCCGAGGACTCTCAAACTATGGAAGTTACCAAACTTTGATGAACATTTTCTTTCTAATTTTACCTCTGAAGCCATGAGATCCACTCCTCCTTCAATAGCAAATATCTCATCTTCTATTAAACATAGGTCCAATGGGTACTTTTTTCATCAAAAGCAAGACAAATGAACAAGACTTAAGATGATACCAGTAACTCTACATGCCCAAATATTGATGAGCACCTGATTCTAAAGCGTCATAACACAAAAACGTAGAGCATTATATCAGTGATCAAAAGTAAGCTCTGAGCATCTTACAATTTATTGGCACTACCCCAACTGACTCTTTAACATTCCACAACATTTGCAGCTTCCTAGGAAGCATTCAATACAATTTGCCATTTTACAGCTTCTCAAACACTGAGATACAGACAACATCTGTCTCTGTCTTAGCCAGGTACCCAATCTCACCTGGGTGAAATGAGGAAAATTTCCACAAAGTGTTTTTGGAATGGAAACATAACTGGGCCTAGACTTGGATTCAACCCCTCACCTTAATTGGTTGTATGCCAAGCATCCTATTGAACAGAGATGACCAAAGAAACGAATCAATGGAAGATCAATATATTCGACACAGCCGCCGAATTAGAAGAAAAACACCACCTTCCATGTTACAAGAGAGAAAAGCTATTTAACCCTTAAGACCAGAACTCCCCCCAAACACCAACATCAAGAACGCCAACATTAAAAAACTTCCGTCATGAAGGAGACAGTGAAAAAGGAATGTGACCCAGTAGAATTGAAGACCACAGCTCTCAAAACAATCGATTGCTACCCTAGTGATTCAATCCAAATGTGAGGCATCGTGAAATTAGGCACTTTTCAAAATACTGAAATCAAAGAAACCGGCACTTTTCTGCTGGTTTAGCAATTTCTATCGAAATTTTGTTTTTTGACTCTACATCTTTTATATCCTTTAAAAAACACATTTCTGTGTGGATGCTCCTGAAAAACGTTAAAGGGACAAAAACTGTAAATTTTCAGTTTTCAAGGACTCTCAAGCTATGGAAGTTACTAAACTTTGGTGGCCATTTCCTCGCTAATTTTACCTCTGAATATGATGACTCCCACCTCTTCAATCACAAATATCTTGACTTCTATCTAACATAGAAGGAAATTTTGTTCATTCAAAGAAAGGGAAATGAACAGGCTTTAAGATGATACCAATCAAGTTTACTTCATGTGCCCCAAAATTGATGAGCCCCTGATTTACAGCGTCAAGATTCATATTGACACTGATGGATCAGCCTTTAAGGGAACTATTAATGAAGGGTTTGGAGTAAGAATAGAACATCCTGACAAAACGTGTGGAGAAATACTTTATGTCTGTGGTACTTTTTATACAAATTATGAGGTTGAGGACATAATCAGTGAAGAGGCAATCCTCCACCAGATCAACAATTTCATCATACACCCAGAAAAAATCAAGGACACTGTAATCTTCACAGACAGAAAATCAGTACTCCAAGCTTTGGAAAACATGAATTTCGAAAGCCCAGCTTGCCTATCTGTGGCTCCTACAATTAACACCTTCATCCAGACCTATGACGTCAACGGTCAACCTGACTTTACAGTGGATACCTGGCCACAGCAACATCCCAGGAAACGACAGAGCAGACACCATGGCCAAGAAGTAGAAGGGAGCATCACAAACACAACCTCAAGATCCAGTATCACAACAGACAGTCAAGAACATCATCAAATGCAACACCAGGGAACAGTGGCTGAATGGATGGGCATTGGGCAAAACTGGAAGAGCTGTATTTGTACACATAACTGCTCCCAACTCAAAAGATCATGTACTAAATTCCCTGAGTAGAAGAGAACAAGCCACTATCTTTCGCCTGCAAACACAACACATCCCACTGAATTCCTACCTAAATAGGAACTGCAAGGATACTCCACCTGACTGCCCGTTGTGTGACGGCCAGAATGAAACAGTATCACACCATCTCTTTACCTGCCTTGCACTTAGCGACCTGCGTAGCACCTCGCTACCTGCCTCCCCAGATACTGGATATACTTAGGGACAAAACACAGCTGATAAAAATCTGTAAATTCTTTGCCATCTATCGACAGGCCGAAGGACTAGAACCCAGATGGCCGCTGGATCAGAAAAGTAAAGTCAAGCATCCTTATCAATAAAGCTACCAATCACAGCCGAAGTTTCGAAATTGGGGGGGGGGGGCTACAGTTGAGGGTTATCTTGCAAAATTGTCTACTCTTTACCCAAACCAGAACTGTCAGCTGTAGCCTCCCCCACCCTCTGTTAACTTTCCATATAACCATTCATACACAGATAGATATATTAAGAATGTCTTTGGCAAAGATTTTTACAAGTGGGATCAAGAGGTACACTGGATATGCTCCATCAGAGATAGCAAAACAGATTTTTAGACAGAATCATAACTGGAGATGAAACCAGTGTTTGCTCTTGAGATCATGAGACAAAGAGACAGTCAGCAGAATGGACAGACTTTGACCATCCGCAAACATCACTTTATGGTCGGTCACACACACCAAAGTAGTAATTTTGCCATGGCCTGTCCCAACAAGTAGGCTACAACTACGATTGACCTTTTATTGTTAACGTCCAACTACAAAATGGTCGTGCAAGAAAAAGTTGAGACAAGCTATCCAGAAAGAGCTACCTGGTCTGCTGTAATCTGGAGTAGTGTTCCACCACAACAATGCTATCTTTTACAAACCAGAACTATGGCAGAACTTTAGGACTCTGACTCTCACAAAAAATTACACCTAGGAGACATTGGAGTATCCAGGCTAGTCACCTGCTCTAGTTCACAGTGACTTCCATCTTTTCCCCAAGATGAAGAAACACGTTCGAGGACAAAGATTTGAATCTTCAAGAAAGCTTGCCCCAAAAGGGCTGACAGGTACCTAGACAAAATCACTTGCGTCAACTGGAATTGCATTTTAAATGAAGGTTGGTTATGGAGAATTCAAAGTGCATTGGTAGTGCCACTGATTACATAATATTATATCAGATAAAGCTGTGCCAAATTTCCTTCATTTTTTCAAATAGATCCTTGACATCTCTCGTACAAAGACCACGTTTCAAATGCTGAGGTACGAAAGAGAATCACCAACGCAGTGGGGCAGCATGAAGATCTACTGACCACAGTGAAAAGACGATGGGCATGTCACAAGATCCAGACTTGCCAAAACAATCCTGCAAGGAACCGTACAAGGAAAAAGAAAGAGAGGAAGGCAGAGAAGGAGATGGGAGGACAACATTACAGAGTGGACAGGAAAGACGATGGGTGACAATCTGAGGAAAGCAGAGGACAAAAATAGATGGCGAGAGCTGGTTTTGAGATGCAGTGGTGCCCCCACGGTTGCCCCAATCACGGGATAGAAGAAGAAATGTAATTCATTTTATTCAGGAATGCGTATGCCTTTGATTCCTGAGCCTGCACTGTAACAGAAATAGATCAGATGGCACGCTTACACATCACGTGATAAAAATGAAAGTGGCCTAGAGGGTGCCTTATTGGGGGTACAAAAACTGGGTATCATTTTACTATCACTCCCATCTCCCCTACAGCATTTTTATGTTTTACATGGGTTTCGACTTTAAATTTGTAGCCTTATAAATTTCTTTTTGAGATATTGAAATTCTTATTTCAACTAGATTTCTAAATTACACTAATTAATAGTGTAGCCATTATCTTGCACCTGGTAGATGTGTTGTGGCCTCCTGCATTTTTTTATCTTTCGATTACTTTACAACTGTATAGCATAATTTTACCAAAGTGACAAGTCGAAAGAATAATTTTTTTTTATATATGGGAACACACTGTACTTTCACTTTCAAAGTTGTGTTGAGACCAAGTGAAGGACTTAGGGAAATAAAGTGATAATTCTTTTTTTTTTAAATCAGGGACTAGATCTAAATCTAGATTTCTAGATCTAGATCTATATGCTAACCTATGATTTTTAAAAATCTTTGAAGGAGTTAAAATTTGTTGTAGGCTACCCCCCTAGCCTAGATCTAGCATTTAAACTCATTACACGAACTGTAGCCTACAGTTACGGCTACCGGTAGATCTAATTCATGAACTTCGTGCCTTTCTTCTTCAACAGCAACGCCGATACGGCACTGTCTACTCCTCCTGATATTCCACACACTACTCTTCGCATGGACATGGCCAGTGCAGATAATTTTAGAGTAAGTTCAGGTGTGGGTGGAGAGGTAGATAGCTGAGAGGCTTTCGTAAAGAGTCATTGCCCTCTGCATAATAACATCAGGTCACAAGCATGTGAGCGAGTTGATAAACGTAAACAATAAACCATGTGACTACAACGAATAGTTTGTCATCTCAACACTGATTGGTCAGACTATTTTTTGATGAGCAAATCAGGTTCATTGTTGTAAGATTTATGTTTTCAGATCTCAGATTTGTAGAACAATATAAGTACAAAATATGATTATGTCTGGTATAAAGAAATCAAACTGAACCAAACATTTAAATTTAAAATCTAAAATTAATTGTTCAGTTTTTTAAAGCAATTAAGCAGAAAATACAAGTCTAAATCAAGCTGGATGATATTTGTTTTCTTTAATTGTTATTTTTCGTTTGGCTAACTTTTTAAAAGTTCAAAGGGAGATAAAGCAACAAAACAGTAGATGTTTACATGAGAAGAAGAATATTGAATTGTCACAAAATAAAATATGTGAAGCTGCTTGTAATTTGTTTTTTAAATATATTTCTGTTCTCAAATTTAATAGAACAACGGCATGGAGTCGGAAAGAACTGCAGAAGTTGTTCAAGAGGATGATATCGGCAAACTCTTGGGTCACTTTGCGAAAAATAGTCACCGCGTCAAAACGGCTGACATCAAGGTAAAAATTATGAGTTGACAATTGAGTAGAAACTGACAAATCAAAACTGTCTGAGAGGTCTTGACCTAGAAGTATAGATATAACGCCGATCAAGATATCTAGATTTAGTGTCTAGATATCTAGATGATCTGACTTCTAAGATTTAAGTCTTGATAAATATAAGTAGATTCTATTTGAAGTACAAGGAAGTTGAATAGCAATGCCAATCGGGCTTTCCCGCGAGGCGAAAATTTGGTCCCCGTTTACGGGCGATTTTGCGGACCCGGCCGAAGCGTAGGTGACTAACTTTGTCAACCTCGGTCTGCTCTATTTCCGAACCAATCCGAATGAAACTCGGCTACCAATCAGAAAATAGGGCAAACTAATGATATGTGGACGTTGAAGTTCGTACACATAAATTAACCTATACTTTTAGTGTCGGGAACACTTTCGTATCGTGTACACCGAAAACTATAAGGAGTTTGAATTTCAACGCCCAGATGGTAATAGATCTATCTATCCTCTATAGTGTGCTCAAATTTGAGAGTTCTGTGTCAAGTAGTTGTTTAGACCCGATCGTAAATCTACGACTACCCCCCTATCCAAAGCGGCTTCGCACGGAGACCGGCCATTTTCCCCTCACTCCCGTGGCAAATGTCTGTGACCTACAAATCCCCGCATGACTATTCCGGGCCCGTTCATTGGTCACTTGAAATAGGGCAATGGCGGGCGCGCGCATCCGGTTGTTTTTCTCTCTATTCCCCTGTAACATCGCAATGGGGGTATTCCGAGGCGAGGTTATCTCGTCTCGGGGTGTTCGCGTCTCAACGGGGAAAAAGAATTTTTAATTGTACGGCATGCTAGATTGAATTAACTTATCTTTTACGGTTGGCATGGTCTAAAGTCATCATAAAAAGCTTTGCAATTATTTAGTCACGCTGCCCACATATATTCTTAAAGATCCCATGTTGTGATACGATGCTATAAATAAAATGGACTCATCCCGACACCCCTTTTTCGCAAAATCGTAATATGTACACCACAATTTTAATTATAACAAAATAACTACGAAATTGGTAGTAAATCTGACTGCAGAAATGATTTCTACACTCAAAAACACATCGGGTAGCCAAGTTTCTCTCGAACATTTGGATTAGTTACCGAGATATCGTCGATTTTCTTACAGAATCTGCTACTGCGTGGTCCACTTTTTAGGCGTATTTTCCTATATGTGGGTCATCCATATTTTGCCGACCTTTACAACCCCATAACTTTTTTATTTATGAACCGTTTCTCAAAATTCAAGAAGCATAATTATCAGAATTGAAAATTCTTTCTTAGGTACCAAAAAAAAGGGGGCAAAAGTGAAAATTTAAATTTTCATTGGCATTGCTAAGTTGAAGTAGGCGATTAGACTTGGCCACCTCTATTCTCACCCGGAGTGAGAATAGTGCAGGCGAGTCTTGTGGCTATTCTCACCCGGTGCGCGTTCACCAAATCTTGCGTTCACCCTAAACCACAGAATTCTACACTGTGATAACAGAAAAATTGTAGAATTCTGTGCAGTGAACAAACGTTCCATTACAACTGTAGCCTACTAAAAGCGTACAATTTTGTCTGTGGGCAGCGGAGAGAGAGAGAGGAGTAGCGCGAGAATTTCCGGGCAAAACAAAATGGCGACCCGCGTAGTTCGGCTCGATTCGAAAAGTTAAATAGCCGTAGCATCTTTGTAGACAACCAAATTAATTTACTTTTGTGTTTTAACATCATTTTTTAACTTTGTTTTGGTCAATTTGATCGTCCACACCGATAGACAGTATTCAGAAAGAGACGGAGAGAGAGAGAAGAGGGGAGGAGTTGATCTTGCGAGAACTTCCGGGCGGGTGAGAATAGCCACTTTCATTAGACTTAGAATCTAGATCTCTTGATCTAGAATTTCTAGATCTAAACACAAGCGGCTAGCTAGATTCTAGATATATTAGACTTAGATATCTAGAGAACAAAACCTAAAGGCCATCAGCCGATATTTATTATAACAGCCATCTTGTTTGACGTCATTGAGGGATTCCCACTTTGTCAGTCATGGTGGCAACACGACGGCAGCCTGCAGACTCGGATTATTTTCTTGGCAACTTGCAGAACTGTTCGGTTTGGTCGTCTGTGATTGTGCAGCTCCCTTCTTCCACCCATTTTTATTCGATGCTGTACACTACGCAAACTGAAAAGAAGAAGAAGATCAAGAGTAGGCCTACGTCTAGTTATAGTTGGTTACGAAAGTAAGTTCAAACAAAGTTCAACAACGCAGGGCAAATGATCGACCATTTCGGTCCGGATCGTTTCTTTTAAAGTTTGTAAGCACAAGAAATTAAGCACGTACAAGAGATTGAAATCAATAGGACGCTGAGCTGCAAATGAAGTAATTCGAGACTGCAAGGTTTGCAAAATGGATACTGAGAGGTGCTAATGCAGTGTATTAGAGGGAACCACTAAGAAAGACTCAAAGAGGGGGGAAGGGGAGGCTG